GCGGGTCCGTGTGGTGCGAAGTGGACGCATCGGCAGATAAACCGGAAGCTAGATAGATAATCGATCGATCGATGTGTTGTTGCTGTTGTTGTTGTTGTTGTTGTATTTATTTACATCGGGCGGGTAGCAGGCGGAGCCTGCCGCGCTGGGACCTCCCATGGGGTACGGCGACGTGCTAAGCTATGGAGTTACATACAAGAAGGCCCTTAAAGATCGATGGAGGTGTCGATCGCGAATGGGCCTCCTTTTTTTTTTTTTTTTTTTTCTTCTCTCTCACAAGGAATCCTTCTTCTTTGCGTGTCTGTCTGGTTTGGTTCCGCACAGTTCGGTTCCATGCCATGCCGTGCCGCAAACAGTATCTGTGATATGATATACGTACATACATACAAAGCTGGTACTGCGCATAGTGGTTGTTGTTGTTGTTGTTATTGTTGTTGACGTGTAGCTATAGCTAGCTACCTAGCTAGCTAGCTACTTAGCTACAGCCCTATCCAAAGTCATGATGTAAGTGCCGGCAAGTACCAGGTACCTCACATCGTCAGTGCGTCGAGAAAGAGGGCTGAGCTGACACTACTGTAAGACAACCTGACGACGGAACGAGTGACAGAGAGCGGCCGCCAGCTTGCCTTACGTACTGGCGCACGGTCAGGTGATCCCTACCGGGCCCCTGAAAAAGTGGCGACGTCAAGTCCCACTAGGTAGTAGTATTACCTACCTAGGTTGTGACGTGCCCGGGTCCGAGACATGCGCTTCTACAAAGTACTACGTACTACTACGTCGCAGGCGTAAGTATTACCCCTCGAGGATAGGGAAACCAGGGGTTTAAAGTGGAAACCAAACTTTTGAAGCACCCTCGAGGGGTAATACTTAGGCCTGTACCGTGGTACGTCCCAGGCGTAAGTATTTCCCCTCGAGGGTAGGTTAACCAGGGGGTTGAAAATGGAAACTAGACTTTTGAGGCACCCTCGAGGAGCAATACTTCGGCCTGTAGCGTGGTAATTCAGTCTCATGCTGCTTAGGTCGTACGGATACGGTACTAAGCTCTATCAGAACCAGGTAGGTCGCTCGCAGACTCCGGACGAATCTTGAATTTTATACAGCCACTCAACTGTAGGATAAACGAGTTTGTGGAGATGCGCTCTTTCTGCTGGTAGTGAGATGCATGCTTGAGAGAAATTTTGATTTTGAAAGATGGATTGACTGTGCTCATTCTATGTTATACGCGGGGAGAGAGAGAGAGAGAAAGGGAGCCGCTCATGCCCCGGAATTCCAAAACTCCAAATCCCAGATCCCAGTCGCTATGCGATGCTATGCTGTGCCATGCTGTGCCATGCCATGCTGTGCCGCAAACTGAATCTGAATTTCTGGGAGGAGGGAGGCACCACGTTCTCGGCGCCAGAAATTAGCCCGCCCTAACCAGCTTGGACCCAACATGCAGACCAAACGCTTTAGAAGTGTTTGGCTGATTTCTCGGGACATCTCATTAAGCGGCTCGTCGCCCCAGATGGTGACAGGTGATACCTCGCTGCCGTCTCCGCCCGTGACGCCGAGCTCGGCGACAAGGCTTCAGAGAGCTGGGCAAGCTTTTGCTCAGGGTCCGTAGAGCGGCGAGGCGGCGCTGGGGATCGGAGATGACTGCTGGGTCGGAATGGAACGGGCGGAAGAGCTCGAGGATCTCAAGTCGAGCTTTGGTGCGATCGTAGGGTAAAATCACCCCGGATCTAGAACACCAAGTCAGTGAGTGCTGCTATGTAAGTGAGAGGAATCCTGACCCGAGATACGATGCTGGATCGCTTAAACATGTTTGGCTTTGCGCCCCGGACTGGGGGACGTTCAGCAACGGGACGACGGGTCACTTTGAAAATTGGGTAATTCGGAGCCCTGTGGAGTCAGGTGAGCTTTGTGGATCAAAACGGAGGCCAGATGCATGTACCATGAAGTATTGCTGAGATGACAAAGCAGGGTCGTATACATAGGTCGAGCGAGCTAACACCGGCTGTGTTTCCTGGAACCGAGCTGCCATTGACACACTTTCCGAGCCCATGATGGCAGGAGAGCAGTGAGTTCCTGGAATTGACGAAGCGGAAATCGATGGCGAGGGCAAACGGTGATGTGTGCCGCGTGAGAAAGGTGGAACGGACATTGACGACGACATCATTTGATTCAACAACAGCGGCGGCAATCTTTGCATGATTGCTCGGAAAGCTTGAATTTCTCTTCTCATCATCTCGTTCTCGTGCTTTAGCTGCATGATCTCGTCTGGCTGCTTGACATTGCTCTGCTCTTTTTGGGCTTTCTCGAGGTTCTTGAGATATTCCTTTCTTCTTCGACCTGGGTGAACGAGCCGGTTGGTAATTGGTCTATGAAGATGGTGCAGGATTACGTACGGAATTCTCGCTGGGCGTTTCTGTTATACTGATGAGGAAAACTCAGCCATGCCCTTGATAAGTCCAAATATTGCTGGAGGATATACCTGGCGCTTGCGCTCTGCTTTGTCTGCTGTTGAGTCCATGTCAATGCTCTGAAGAGAGTCCTGTCTAGAGTATGGGGTGGTTGTTGTGGACATGGTCACGATTGAGACAAGAGATGTGTGAAACAACTATAATTTTTAGGAGGATAGGAATGGTAATATGTACTGGGGATTGAAGTACTCGTCCATACGGAGGAAACCTTTAAGGGGTCCTAGGAGTGGGTCATATGGTCTGCCTCCTCCTGCTTGTGGATCGTGATGGGCACATCGGCTTACTCTTTGGAGCCGTCTTAGCAAGTTTAGAGAGGCTTTGTTGAGCCTTAAGATTGATCCTCGGTCGCTGCTTCCTGTCTTCTTCGGCCGTAATCTGCTGGCTAGTTCAACTGCTGGACTTACTAGAGCCAGAGACCTTCAGGAATGTACTCGCCGCTCGGATTTTTAAGGCTGACTTGGATCTGTCTACCCACGGATGTTCGCCGAAGTGACTCTGATTGGCCTATGGTCTACTGGCTATTGGCCATTGGCTTTTGCCATCTCATCTTTTACTGGGCCCGGAATCACACACGGGCGCCGTCTCATCAGGCCCGAGTCTGCTATTCTGGCCGAAGCGGATCTAAAGCCTGACGTGTTGCTTATCAGGCGCGGCCTTCAGTTCACAGACCGGTGCCTTTCCGCAGGGCTAGCTGCCCAGCGATCTTTCTGTGCGAGGCTCCAGTTCAGCCTGGTGGGGTGTGGGGGTCCGTTGAGTAGGTGAGGTGGGTCGGAAGGTCGGAAGGTCGGAAGGTAGGAAGGCAAATCCGGTACCTAGCTACGTATACTCGTACTCCAAGTCAAGAGCCCGCTGGCGCAGGCTTCGAGCAGTGAGCACATGGTTCCGTCGATGAGGAGAGGATCGTCATAACGACGGCCCCAAATGGCCGCCTTGACGCCGTGCCCTGGCTAAAATGTGAAAGGCTTTATTCTCGGCCCCCAATATATCTGCTAGCAGTACTGCAAGCAATTCAAAGTCACTTCTCGCTGCAGCACGATCGTACCTGGAGCGATTCATCCACGATGGTGGCAGCCATACGCAGTGCAACACGCCCCGACGAAACGGAGGGCGCAGACTCCTGCTCTCGTCAGCATGTGCATTACTTGCAGCATGAGATTATCGTCTTTCAGATCTGCTGGCTGACAAGATCAGAGCGGCGCTGATGGCCTCTTGCAGGCTTGCATGACGCTGGTCGGGATGAGCTACGGAACGGATAGACAGTCACGAATGAAGAGGTAGATGAATGGCTATGATACTTACGATCGACCGCTGCTTACGACCTGCACAGTTGCTGAGGAGATGGATGCACGCATACTTACGGGTTGTGTGTGTGCTGCTGCAGAGACAAAGGAAAAGAAAATGAACAGCCGACTTAAAACTCTGAAATTATATGGATACCGAGTACGAAGATGCATACACACGTATCAGGACGTATCACGGCTGGACTGGATATGATGATAATTGGCTTGCTCGTATGTCTAGCAGACGTCCATCCGTATGTAGCTCAACTCGGCATAGTTGCCGTCTGTTCTCAACTCTAGCACTAGCATCATCATCACTTCGCCACTTTGATATATCCGTGGACAATATAGAAATAAGTACTTGAGACACGCATCTGAATGATGCTACCTATTCCAAGACGATCCGCAGAGCATCTGCCGATCCACAGGTGTATGGCTTAGATAGTTGTGTGGCTGTGGCTACTTGCTTACTCATGGATTAGGTAGTAGCTGCTGCTGTCTTCTCTGATACTACGTATGATGTTGAGCTAAATGCGGATCCTGGCTACGACCCCAAACTGTTAAAAATGGGGTTACCTGACTTATGGCCGTGACGTTGATGGAGTACATCGATTTAAGCTTAAGCCATCGAAGAACATTAAAAAGACTTGACTACTCGCTTACTAATAAGGGGGAAAAAAAGGGAATCTTGCGGATATAACGGGCTAGATTTGCGTTCTGGCGGTTGAAATCCACTTTTTGCGACTAAAACCTACGGTCTTAGATTCTTTTCCTTTCGAATACTTCATTAATAGCTAGTTAAGAATAGTTAAGAATAGAAAGAAAAATGCTCGAAGACCAGCTTGCTGCATCGCTTTAAGAAGAGGCCATTGCAATAAATTAAATGCTCGAAGAATAGCTAGCTAGCTGTATCGAGCTGAAAGGGGCTGTTGCTGTAAATTGGATGCTCGAAACGTAGCTGGCTGCATCGCGCGGAAAAGGGCTATTCTATAAGAAAAGGGCTATTCCTATAGATCAAATGCTCGAGAGATACCTTCAAGGCAGGTAGGGGCCCGGGGGTCATTTGAGCAGTCGCGTCAGAGCGCTTTCTCCGACTGCACATGGAGTGGTATGTTGAAGAGGTGATTGAATAAGGGGATGGTATAATAGAGGGCAATCGTCGGTTTCCTTAAATTTGATTCGAAAGAATTGACCGACTTGCTATAGCAAGTCGGCACCACCAAGGCGGGACAGTAAAATTTGCTTCTCTATAATGAATAGAAAATCAACCAATTAAACTTTCGTAATTATTTTTGTATAAAAAGATGCAACGTATTGAGTTTAATATTGATCAGTTAATCAAATTTTAATTACAAGTTGTTATTTCTTTATTATATTGAGTTAAAGTAGTAAAATTAATACTTTTGATGTATACTTTTCGATGTTATTAAATGCGCATATATCAGAATTACCGCGTATATACTAGAATAAGCGAAGAGCACGAAAATCGAACTTTTATTTAAATCGATCAAAAGAATACGTGCACTATTATCAACTTTTATTTAATAATTAATACCCTTAGTAATATAATAGACTAAATCATCTGTTTTCGATCTATAAGACGTTTTTTTGAATTAAGGTTATAATTGTTGAGATATTCGCAGTAAATTTGAATTATTTAAAACAGTTTTTAGCTATATTTTCATTACATTTTAATATATTATATTACCAAAAATGAATGCATCTTTATATTTTTAATTTACATTTGTAAAGCAAAGTTTTCTTAGCATAAATTTTTTTTCTTTATATTTATATAAATAATTGTTGTTTAACAAGTGGTATACCGTTACTGTCCCGCCTTGGCGCCAGGGCGGGATCTTTTACAAATTAAATTCTACCTAACCGACGATTAGACTGGCAAGCAATAGAAAGGCAAAAGAGATTATTTGTTTATTAATTAACGTTCTCCGGGACGGGTTTAAGTTCGGGGACGGCCTTGGGACGGCCATGGGACGGTCTGAAAATGGCCTTGAAACGCTCGGAAACGGTCTTTTCGTAAAAGGACCGACTTTTACAAACGACTGTTTAATCGATCATAACGGTCTTATTTTAATAATAATCTTTCAACGAAGAGACCGTTTTTTATAAAGGACGGTTTAATCGATTAAATTAGCTCCATTTTAGCTACGATTTAGGTAATTTAAATCGGTTGTTTTCAAATTCTATTCAACTTTAAGTATCGGCCTAAGGTGGTCTCCACTAACTATACTAAGCTCTTAGAACCATCTTTTAAAGAGACCGTCATTAAGGTACGGCCGTAACGTTGATTAGGTGCCCCATTTAAGCTTAAGCCATCGAAAAACACTAAAAACTTGACTACTCGCTTACTAATAGAATAAAGTGAATCTTGCGGATATAGCGGGCTAGATTTGCGTTTTAGCGGTTGAAATCCACTTTTTGCGATTAAAACCTACGATCATAGACTCTTTTCCTTTTGAATAATTAATTAATAGCTAATTCAAAACATTTAATAACAAAAAGAAAAATGCTCGAAAACCAGCTTGCTGCATCGCCTTAAGAGAGGCTATTGCTATAAATTGCATGCTCGAAGAATAGCTCGCTATATCGGGCTGAAAAGGGCTATTGCTATAAATTGGATGCTCGAAAAGTAGCTGGCTGCATCGCGCGGAAAAGGGCTATTCTATGAGAAAAGGGCTATTGCTATAGATAAAATGCTCGAGAGATAGCTAGCTGGCTGCATCGCCCTAAAAGGAGCCATTGCTATAGAGTATATAGCTACGAATATTACACCGCGAAGTCCGGAAAACTTACGGCCCTCCGCAAGCTCCGGGGTAAGTTTTAGCTTGCGGCCGGGCTGAAGCGTCACATTTTCTTTACATCCTTTGAAAGCGTATTTCTTATAGAAAATCGATGTAGGGTTACTGCGGAAGGCAGCCTTGCACCATGACCGGATCAGACCTTGTTTTAACCATAACGTGCGTTGGCTTCTCTAGGCATCTTTTACAAGTCCTGATAGTCCAAATCTTTAGCCAAAGGTTTACCCGGACGATTGTATTCTACTCATGTGAGAATTTATATCAGACTTAACGGCTGCCGTTATGCCCCCATGAATGTTGACGTTTGTCATGGTGCGGATAACCAAAATAGTCATAGCTATAGGCGTAGTAGACAAAGTCCGTACTGTAATTTGAATAGGACTCCATGGTCAGTCTATGATTTTGATAAGTCGTGCTATCCTCGTTAGAGAACTAAACCGACGCCTTTCCGCCCACCGCCTACCACGATCCTTCTGACCAAGCTTCTATAACCTGGAGCCACAAGCGCAGCAAGAGAGACGCATCCCATCCCATCATCTATTATAGCAAACTGGTATGTACTACTCTCTCCCAAACACCCATCCGTTGAACACGCCCTTCATTCACTCCTGCGCCCACCGCTTTTCCCGCACAGTCGCCGCCTTTCCAGCCGCCGCCCGGCTCCCATCGCTCTCCTCTCTCCAACCCCAGTACTCACCTAATCTGATTTCAGCGTAAGATGCATAGTCAAAGTCAATCTGGGAGATGGTGGCTTGGATCAACCCCCAGATGCCCCAGTAGAAACCTGGGATCCCGCGGTAGATGTCCACTTCGGCGAACAGGGTATGCGCCTCAGCCTCTTGCTCTTCCTCGGGTTTTGGCTGGCCCAGGTTCTGGAAGTAGCTGCGGATGTATTCACGGATGAAGTCCAGACGCTGGGACTTGGTCGGAAGCAGGTCGTACTCACATTCGAATCCACCCCACTCGGCAAAGTGGTTCGCAATGTCGAAGGCTGCTGGCGAGGGTGTGGCGTACTCATAGTCAATGAAGCTAACCACCTTAGGCGCGTTGGGAGTTGTCGCTGCGGATTGTGGTTGTATGATCACATTTCCACTGAGCAAGTCACAGTGAGCAAACACAAGCTACGTATTGTTAGTATAGTCTCCTTACAGAGTCACATATAAGGAGCACTTACACTGTTATCTCCCAGACCCGGCCGGTTGCTGAATTCTGCAACCAGGCGAGTCAATTCCTTCTGCAGATCTGCTTGCCGGGTCTTCTCGGCATCTGTTTTGACAGGGAGAGCATATATCCACTTCTGCATCACCGTCCACATATTTGCGGCTGGCTTTCCCGGAGCAACATTGTCAATCGCTGTTTGCAACGCAGGATCCTTCTTGCTCGGTGTTGGCGCCTGCATAGCAAACTCCTCGCTGCCGTGTATCTCCTCTGTCAGTGGTTTTCTGGGCGTTGCAATACAAGGCACGACAGCATGCCATTCCGCCAGCTTTCTAGCAACCGCCCGCCAGATCTCCTCCCGTCTCAGGTCTGCTGGAGATGTGACAGCACCGCGGATGAACTTGTATAGCATTCCATTGTGGAATCGGGCCAGCAGTGTCGGGGCAAGGTTGTACTGCGAGAGGAGCTCATGATTTTGGGTTTCGCGCTCCCGGTCGATTATGAGATCTGTGCCTTTTCCGTATGCTCTCAGCAGAACAGCCTCGCTATCTACCTCCTCCTCCGTCAATCCATCCTTCTTATTCACAACCTTTAGCAACGTATTTGTGATTCCGTCTGTGAACCTAATGAATTCCACCTTTCCACTCTCCCAGTCTGGCCGGAGGGCTAGGATGAGGCGAAGAGCTGACGTTTGCGATTCAGCAGAGCTGTAGGTGAGCGGGATGAATCGAATCTTGTGCGCACCGTTTGTGGCAGGAGTTGCGGGGTCGTCTGTTGACATTGCCGCGCGTTGTCCTCTGCTTGCGGGAGTGTCGGTGTGCACGACGAGAGTATGTCTGTCTGGGTTGTGTTAACAGCCTCTTCATAGCATATAGTTTGCAGCTTCACCTCGATTCGCTATCCACACAGCCGGTGGTCCTTGATGCCGTGCTGGGAGACTTTGATCCACGAAGCTACCAGATGTGTTAATCTTCCCCAGCTCTCGATGAATAATTACTCTCTGCGGTTGGTGAATCGATTGCGCGAACTTATGTGATCTGATTCAAAAACTTATTCGATGTGTTGCGGGGTCAGTAAGGGATGGATGGGTTTGTAAAATATCCTGGACGAGCTTCAACGACGAGTGCGACGGCTTGCTGCGGCTAATAAGCCTTGTTCGGTTCTGAAAGCTGGTCTTGTGGCAAGCACAACTTGATCTTGCTCGGCAGGAACCCCTTGGACCACAACAGGGAAGGATATTTGTTTACGACGTCGGAACGGACGTCATCGCCATTTGGTCTCCCCTTCCTATGCCAAGAACAGTCTCGTGCCACATTTTCCCCATCGGTGTTTGAACTTCCCTCAGCAAAATCGCAACACGGCTCTTACATCCCATTCTCACGCGGCGTTTCTTAAGTCATAGATTTGTGCTATCAGCTTGCCCAACTTCGATATTCATTTTGCGAAAATGTCACATGATATGGGGCTATTTTATCCACCCAAGTTGGACGAGAACATTTGGAATTTGACTCGCAATGAAAGAGATCCAGATAATCGGTTCAACCGCGAGGCTCTGGCGTTGATGATACAGAGTAAGAAAATGCATTGAGAAGCTTGCATCTGACAACAAGTAGATCCCTCCCCTTTCTCGCAAGCGAGACATTGCTTGTTGACAAGGAAGCGAAAAGTGGGATAGTAGCACCGCTCACACCTGTCACTTCGAGAATGAACATGTTAATGTCATGGTATTTTGACGTCTATAAGGCGAATATCGAAGCTTCAGCGCTGAACAAATCTACTTGTTGATTTCAGAGCCGCTTGCCATCGCACCAATAGCCGCAAAATCCACCTTCTTTTTTTTAAAAAAAAAACCACCCCGGTACATGAGGTTATCAGTATCGAATTACTTTCTCTGTTATTCAATTCCATACAAACTTTCAGTTTCGGCGACGCTGGGAATCACCAAGTCATCTTACCTGTTCCATATACTCTATCACAACCAAACATACAAAACCGACAGCGCAATACCTAATCCGAACGAGCCTCCTCGCGGTCTACCGGCAGCACCGTTCGTGTTCTTGAATGGCGAGCTGTTCGTCTCATCTGCGTTTGGTGCCTTTGGTATCTTGATCGAGGTCAATAAGATAGAGCTAGTCCTTACAGGTGCCACACTATTGGATTTGAAACTCGAAATCTTTGGAACGACTGAGGTGAGAGAGATTGGAGAATGCCCAGACAAAGATGCAATCGCCGCGAGCACGGACTTCTGTGTCATCGTGCTGTCCTGGGAATCCGTCGTCGAATAAGTGCTGACTACTCCAGGTTGCGTAGACGTACTGGTTCGTGTCGGCCCCTCACTATCCGTGGATATGATCACGATGGGACCGACACCCGTCGAGCTATTTGTCGAAATCAGAGTCGAGATTGACGTAAATTTTGAGGTTGGCTCTGAAATAGTCGTCCTTCTAATCGTGATGGGGTAAATTTGATACATGGTCGACCACGACTTCGTCGTAGTATGCGTCACTGTAGACACAGGCGGCAATAGCGTATATATCGTCGTTTTCGGCTCAGCTCCTCCATTCGCAGGATCCTCAACTACTGTCAGCGTTGGTGTGACCTGGGTCGCCAAACTGGTTGCTTGATTCTCCGCATTTTGAATAGCTGAGTCCGGTATTGGCGAACCAGCTAGCATACAAGCGAGCTGGAGAGGCGTTGAGAGAAGATTTGTATCGAAGTAATTGTCGCAGCTGTTATGGGCGCAAGTAACGACATCCGTGAGGAAGTTCTCAGCTGAAGCGCGACAAAGATAGCCAAAGTCTGTAATTTTGCAACTTGTGTCGGGAGATTGGTCGATGCAGTTTTGGAAACACTGAGGGAGATTGGAAACGAACTGTGACCGGACCAGGGGGTTATTGACACGCTGCTAAGAGCCAGGAAAGCTCCCAAGAAGGCCATGGACGACATTCCGGAGATGACAGCAGGGTATTTGGACAGAAAAGAAGTTTAGAAAGTGACTGATAACCTTATTGCCACTGTCGCTGAACCATAGCAGATAAGAAGTTCTTCCAACGCTGCTGTGTGCAAAGAAAGATGGTACACGATATAAATGCCAGCTCATCTTAACATTTGCCTCCCAACCCATGTCGTATAAGTCGGGCTCTAGGCCATCCTACATAAATCGAGGATTGGATGCCAACAAGCAACATCTGCTTCCCTGTTTCTTGCATGCGGGAGCTCCCATGAAAGTGGTGATTGGGCGGCTGTGGAAGTGTGGCTGGTCTGAATATGCACAGCCACGATGGAGAAGCCGAAGGCAGCTCCCAATCAATATATGGTGCAAAATACGTCGCTGTTGACGATAGAGGGAGAAGAAGGTATCCAGAGCCAAGGTTTACGTTCGAGCTTATGGGATTTTTTGGACGGAGGACACCTCTCGTCTGACGGGAAGGAATAGATGGTTTTGTAACATACTTGAAATAAATTCTTCCAAAACGATAAGATGAAACGAGCCGAGCAGGGAGCACTTTAAATTTACAATCTTTTGAGAGTAAAGATGGGCCAAATAATTAAACAATAAACAAAGCAAGACTTCAGAAAGATGCGAGCTACCTGGATCATTAACAGGTTTTACTAGCATCTCCATCTTCATAGGTCGAAATCTTGATATAAGTCATGAGCAACACCATTCGATGCTCTGGATAAACAGTACAGTCTGCAAAAGGCTCCTCTCCAGTGGTCACAAACCCACACTTCTCGTATAGAGCTCTAGCAGCAGGTTTGGCTTTCTCGACAACCAAACTCGCAGCGAAGATTTTTCTAGCATTTTCTGCTTCAGCAGACCAATCCCTGACGAGCCTGTCGATCAACGCTTTGGCAACTCCTTGGCCACGAGCCTTTGGGAGTATGAACATCCCATTGATACGCAGAGGGTATTCTGATGGTATTCTGTCTTCATAGCCATTGACAGCTTCGCAAGGATTGGCTAAAGGCGATATTATGGGGATAGGTAAATCCAGGCTGGAAAGTATACCCAAAACGATGAGTTAATGACAGAAAATGGAGAACAGTGCTTGGACCAATGAAGATACCCTGTATCGTGTGAAGTCACAGAATACTCAAGTGTGGCATACTCCTCTGTAATTCTCAGAAGGGGTCCCAAGGACGTCAGAGTACAGATTACAGCATCTGACTGTAAAGCGACATAGGTTCTAGCTTTGGGGTTCGCGAGCCGGTCATACCACATGCTATCCGTAAACCCAATTTCCCTTGGGTATGTACTACGTAGAACCAAAGCTAAGAGGAGCGGTCTGAAGCAATAAGAGCCGGAAATCTTCATACCGGTGCACGTAAGACCGGCTGCTAGCCTCGTCATGCGGAATCTTAACGATCTCGAAAGTCATGTTGAGATGTGGCACGAAGGCCACCAGGGTTGCACTTGCTCACGAGGCCGAAAGCATGACACAGCGCCAATGACCATAGATAGTCACACGACGAAACGATCGATGATGAGAAGAGAAGACCAGAACATCAAAAGATTGAGAAAGCGAGGAAAGTGAGAGGATATATAGCATCTGATATAGCTCATGTGACTCAAAGAGAGGTCTTTCGACAACTGGCAGTCAGCGAGCAAGGTCTCATCTGTTCGTTAACCCTGAAAGTGGGGCCCGAAATACGCGAGCACCGCTTAAACCGCTTATACCGTTTGAGCATGACAGCCCTCAGCCGCGCTGCTGGAGCCTTGCCTTGTGAGCACCTCCAACATTAGATACGAATCAAACCATTATCATGTCTTCATCTGCTCTGGCTAACAGAATCTCATGCTTTCACCGAGGCGACCACGATCACAGTTATGGCCAGGGTAAAAGATGGGCATTTCGCGAACTTCGACGATGAATCGACGTACAGAAACAGCCAGGAGCGCGCTCTTCTCGAGTCAACTCGCAACTTTGTCGTCCAATTTGGAGAAGACGGAGCTGATATTGCGTGGGACTTTCAGGCTGACGGTCTTTCAGCTCTGCTGAGGAACCCATCTCCGGCAGAAAGACCTGTTCGATGGATGTGGGTGGCCGTTCTCTACTTCAGCTTCAATTCTAATGGATCTCGCGCGTAGTAACATCTGGGCACCACATCGACAAGTAGAAATAGTCGATCTGCTTGGCAAGCACTATGGTTTCTCCCCGAGGCTTCTTGCCATCATTGGAACAGCCCCCCCGGAGTCTAGACACCTAGATAAGCCACTTGGCCGGCTCAGAACGAAAATATACAGGCAAGATGACATTGAACTAGCGACCACTAGAGCAAGTATAGAACTTCCTACATGGCCAATAAAGTCGCAAGATGATGATATAAGTCATTATGCTCTTGCCAATCAGATGATAAACTATCAGAGCCATGATGTTGGCACCCATTTTCTCTGTGTTGGTGCGAACTGGATACACGAATTGAAACCCAAAGCTGAGGTGGTTGATGAGGAAAAGGTTTCTGAAGGAAGGCAGAAAAGGTTGTTTTCATGGCTGGTCCTCTGTGACGATCGTATGTTAGTTATACTAGTTCTTCATGATACAAATGCTCACCCTCTACAGATACTGTCATATCCCTCCAAGAAGACTTTGGACAACTTGAAGACTCTGAGGATGTTGCAGCAATCCGTTCAAATACGCTAAGTGTACTTAGCCAGCTTTCAATACGGTCCACTGCAGATGCCATCTCCCTGCAAAGTGTCCGGCAGGCATTGAAACTGGATGCTACTAAACACCAACCAGGAATCGAAGGTTCTAGTTTACTCTTTCATTATCTATTCGATGACTGGCGCGCAGTATACTCTACTGTAGCAACGTACAACAAGAGGCTGGACGACCTGCAATGTGCAATCCTTGGCGAAGTGGTAAGAAGGCTAGGTACTTTTCTCCGCCTCCAATTGCTAACATGGGAAAGACAAGAAAGAGCAACTCTTCACCAAGCCTGCAGATAATCCTACGCCTCCACATCCTCGGCCGCCAAATCCGCTCAAGTCAGCACCTTTACGAAGGCTATAAAAATCTTATCAAGCGAATCCTCGAGCCTAAGCCAGCTCCTGTACACTTGACTGCCCTCTCCCGGTCTTCCACCAACCTCAGTGCTGGCCCAGGAGGCAAGGGAAATGGTGTGACGCTTTCTTCGTCCGCTGCGCAGCGCTTTGAACGAATTAGCGACCGACTGGAACTGCTCATCTTGAGCGAAACGAAGGAGCTACTTGCCGAGAAAGAAGCATTGGTCTCTACCGTAAGCACAATCTCACTGACTCCCACGACAGATACCATGCTAACTTCAATTAGTATTTCAACATTAATGCGCAAAAAGACTCTGAAGCCACGGCTCGCCTGACTCGCTCCGCAACCCTCCTCGCCAAGCTCTCAGTCCTCTTTCTCCCAGTTAGCCTCATGACGTCCTACTTCTCAATACAGGTTCAAGACCTGGAAGGAGTCTACACAGTCAATGATTATTGGTACTCGTTTGCCGCTATCATGAGCATTTCCTTCCTGTGCTTATTCTTCTTCAGCAGGCTGCTGATGTATGTGACCGAGACCCTAGATGGGTGGATGAGGACGATATACAAATCTGGCGCGAAATCGTTCACGAATGTCCTACGGAAGAGAGATGAGGTGCAGTCATGATCGTGGCTTGTAGAAACATAGAGGGGGTCTGGTCTCGCGCTTTTATTCGACGTGTGGCTCGATGACGGAGAAAACCATTCGCTTGCCTGCTGGAGTGTCATCTGGAAATCCCGACACTACAATACTTACAAAATGTACACACGCAATCGATCTCCATACTGCCTGGCATGCTTCCGGAGGTTGCCGATTGCAGAACCAACCCAATATGTACCCGTCGATTTACCCTGGACTCCACACCCAAATGGATCTCAACACATCCTTTTCCATCTAGGCGTATGAATATCTGCTGCTGTTCGATATAAGTAGCATGCTTCGTATGAGATTTAATTAGGTAGTTCTGCATCTGGACCCTGGCTCCCTTAGATAACCAAACGTCAATTGGACTCATGCTGGTCCGTCCTGTACCTTCTCTGTTCCAGGGCCATCGGCTCGTCCTATCTAATGAGATTTAGGCCACATAGCCACTATTTTCGTCGCCATCTCTTGAGTCTGCGTAGTCACTCAAGAGAAGAGGCTCGGATTTGAAGGAGTGTTGGTTCTCCCCAGTCGAGGACCTCGAATATTTCAGTCGGCTTTTTGACACTGAAAGTAGCAGGTACTGGCGGATATTTAGATTCATAGTCGCTAGGTCAGTTGAGTAACTCGATTGTTTGAAAGATTGCCAATCTTGTGTGGAATGTCTCGTCAAATTCAAGAGGTTTACATATTTTAGCTTGTTGAGTTAGAGCTATCTCGAATTGCAACTATTAAGGAGTTCGAAATTGACATTGAAAACACGAGATAGGTGTGGATTCATAAGCATCGCTTAAAGATCGACGGCAAGAGAGAGAACTTAGTAGCTTGTGCTCTTTTTTAGTGGCTTCACATAACCCGTGGAGAGTACAGTGCTTCCTCTCGAACGCAATGCAACTCCTGCTCAAATTTTAAGGTAGGCCGTGATCAGTAGATTCAAAGTGGATAATCATGCTCCGGAAATCGAGAAAACCACTACCATACGTTCTCGATCGCCTGTCTCAACACTGGAAAAGCACGATTTCAATTTTTGTTCCCGAGAGAAAGGCTAACCTGAGTACTGTTTGTTGCATGGCGCAACTGGGCCAATGTCCGAATACGAAATCGACAATGAGAAGAATTCGAGTTTCGAGAGTCCAATTCCAGTTTTCCTGCTGCAAGGGCGAAGTTAAGCGGATTGACTTCCATTGTCTCAAAGTACCGGTACCTACACAATACCCTTTGGACAAGGCAGTTTTTCATCTGGATCTCATCGATGAATAGTGGGATGATTAAAGTCACACGTTCAAGAAAACATCATCGACTGCTCAATTGATGCTCTTGGATCTGAGGTCGGTCAGGAATTCATCAAGCGATGCCGATTTAGCGACAACTTCATGGCTCGTTGGCGTGACCTTGGCCCCTTCAATCTCCAGGTCGATGGCCACCTTCCGCTGCATCCATCTTGGCCGTCACTTCCTCGGCACAGAATCGGTGCATGAGTTTCGTTGCTTTGGCTGAGCTTTCTGGATTCTCTTCGCCCAGTTCAGACTTGCTGACATGGATCTACGAGGATATTAATACATGTGTTCATCTCATGCTTCAGATCACATACAACTGGTGTATCAAATTCGTAGAGATCCTTCCATCTTTTGCCTTCTGGCTTCATCACATCAATCTCAGTGTAGTGAAAAGGTCGAACATCCCACACATCTGATAATGTCGCTTTTGCATTTGTACATAGTTGACAGTTTGCTCGAGTGAAGAGAGTGATTCGGCAGGCATGCTGGAAGTATCGAATAGACGGACGCATAATAGGAGCAGAGGATGATATTTCATACAGAACAATAAACGGAGTGTCGAGGAAGCCAATTTGTGCCTCCCTGCGAGCTGGATGATGTTGTTACATGCTCGACGATATAGCGCTGCGCTGTAGAGATCCCGTCACGTTAGAAGGCGGTGGGTGGGCTTTCTGCCATATTCCAGAAAGTTCAGAGCCGATCCCAAAAACAACAAACTCTTTGTAAACGCTACAGGAATTGAAGTACCCAAAACGATTTGATACATTCTACTCTTGCAACTACTATAACACCAATATGGCTCAAAAATGCGTACACCAAGGGTGTGCGAAGGTCTACACGGACTCTGAAGAGGAGTGTCTCTACCACCCAGGACCGCCCATCTTCCATGAGGGACAGAAAGGTGAGAAGTCTGCTGAGCCCGCTGAGCCTGCTGAGCCTGCTGTATTCCCCAGTACGTCAAGGGCTATCAAGAAGCTAATACTTGCTCCCATCTTCAGGCTGGAAGTGCTGCAAGCCCAGAGTCCTCACCTTCGACGAATTCCTCTCCATCCCCCCCTGCACCACCGGCAAGCATTCCACCACCGACCTCCCTCCCACGATCGAGAAGAAGCAAGGCGAAGCTCTAGACGTCCCTGCTCCAACCAGCGATCCAAACAGACCTGCCCCTGAACCCTCTCGTGGCCCGGTCTCAGCTCCGCAAGCTACAGCTACCCCGCCACCACCCCCACCAGAGTCCGAAGACGACGAGCCCAGCCTAGAGATCCCCGCCGGAAAGCTCTGCAGACGGAAGGCATGTGGTCAGTCATATAATGGGGAAGGAAGAGAAGGCGAGAAATGCGTCTTCCATCCCGGCGTGCCAATTTTCCACGAGGGTAGTAAGGGCTATACGTGCTGCAAGCGGAGGGTTCTGGAATTTGATGAGTTTATGAGAATTGAAGGGTGTGAGACGAAGGATAGACACTTGTTTGTTGGCAGTGGCAAGAAGAAAGGTGGAAATTCTGAGGGTGAGGAGGTCCTAGAGACTGTTAGGTGGGTTCACTGAGCCAACAAGGTTGATACGTGGATTTTGCATTGGACTGATTGGTCGCTTGTACAGACACGACTTTTACCAAACGCCTACCACAGCAATCGCCTCCTTTTTCCTTAAGAAAATCAACAAAGAAAATGCCAAGATTGAGTTCTCCTCGTCCGAGATCTCCCTGGACCTCGTTACCACGGATGCCACCCCGAAGCGCTACAAATCCGTTATCCCCCTGTTCGGTACGATCGATACAGCGGCCTCGACTTTTAAGATACTGGGCACCAAGCTGGAGGTTACATTTGTGAAAGCAGATGGTAGTTCGTGGCCGGTCTTGAGAAGTGATGAGGCTCGAACGGGCGAAATTATCCAGATCGGGAAAGCTGGTAGAGCTTTGTGACGCCCCCCGATGTATGCATATGAGTCCCACGACGAAGATCTTCTAGCCGAGCATGATGCTTAACTGAGAAAATATAGAGAATTGAAACCAACACATGCCTAAGTTTATATTCCCTGCTCCTTGCTCAATTTAAAATAGGGTTACCCCCCTTGACTAAAAGTACAGAGCCCTCTCCGTGATAATAAAAGGGGCTGCGCGAAGCCTTTGACAGTAAGAACTGACACTGACCGGCAGCTTAATGACGCATCGGAAGATCCTAGTGATTATTACAGTGTGGGTTTCGGTCTCGTTGGCTATCGGTTGTAGCATTCGTAGTGGTCGGGGCAGCTTGCGATGAACTGCTGGCTGGAGATGGTATTCGTCTGCATTGCACAGAATCGGTAAACCTGAGAAAGAAACCCCGATTCTATTTACTCCAGGCCGGGCGGAGTCGGTCTTATGGGCGTAGGAATTTGGGAAGCTGCATTCTTCTCCACATTGGGAGAAGCGCCGTGGCGAATGCCAGCGACATCGCTAGATATCGTCAGTTCTCGAATTCGGTGATCAATGGGGGGAATGCTTACCCTCTTCTCATCCTGCTCCGACTTTCCGAGAACCTCAAATCAGCCTCGTGGTCGGGCTGGCTGATATATGCAGTCAGGTAATGACTCAGCGCGCTTATCACTAAGATAGGCGTGCCTTTTGTCCATAATCAGTAAAAAAGAAAAAACTTCGTGGAAAGATGGAGATCTGGAGGAGAGGGGGGACATACCCAAAGCGACGCCAAAGCCCGGCAGATCAAAATCATTGAGGTGATACATCTGTTGAATGCAGCAACCAAATGTAGCAAACGTGATGCCAAGAGCAAAGACCGTCCAGATGGGAGAGTACAGGTGCGTCAGTGATTCCTGGTGGCAGAAAAGAATGGCTTGAGCAGCGATTATCTGCATCGCTAGAGAGTTGCATAGAAGAAGGAACATGGAGAACGAGAAGGCCAGGCAGAATTTGGAGAGCCTACGGAAGGCTCTCTCCGATTCATCGATCTCAACGGCATCGATCAGCATGTCGCTTGCCTTCATCTTTTTCAGTAGCCTGCTGCTATTAGTACTGCTGGTGCGAAACTGAATTTGCAGCCCCCATCGTCAGATACTTGAGAAGAAAAAATTGATAACTTACTCGTTTTTGTTACGCACTCTGTCATAGATCTGAACCTCCCCAACTAGGCTACACCGTGATATTAGTGAGTCTGCCATACAAATGGCTTGATAGGTGGGAGCGGATCTGAAGTTCCAAGCTTCCCAAACTACGATTTCCTGGGCAGATGGACTCACGCAGCTATCTGGAAGCAGAACAAGCCCCAGAATATACCATCCAATTGCGAACGCGTCAAGTGCCTCATGAAGAAACCATAGCTGTGGCATTTCTGTTGGGCAATTTGGTTGTTCATAGCCTTGAACACGGTGGCAATAGTGGTATTGAGCATTGTTTGATCCATGGCGACAGAGTGTTCGATCGTTGACGAACGAGGAGCGAGTTTTACGGCAGAGGCCGAGTGAAATGCGAAGTTCAACCTGGGATATGAAAGAGGTGAGATAAATAACAGTGGCTTATTAGATTTGGTCGTTGCGCAGTGCGGATATTGTAATTAAGGGAAGGGAGTGTAATTATAGTGATTGAGACGTTGTTGTGGGCGACTAAGGAACACTATGATGGAAGAAGTCTGGTGGTGACGAAAGGATAGGGAGGGAACTAACCGACCGTGTTCCCGCCATGAATCTAGCTCTAGCACTTACAGCACTTACATTAGAGAAAAGCTCCGCTTCTCTCCACAGCACTCTGCGATCTCATTCCATTCCTTCCATTAGCTGCACCGAATCCAGTATCATCGACTTTCTTCCAGCCCATTCTCGCAAAGCATCCCAGTCTGCACCCTCTTCTTCCCCACGTCTCCAGATTTCACGAAATCCCCAAGCTCCCGCTACTTTATCGATAGCAGCCCGCTCCTCTTCTCTGATCCATCGTTGCCGCAGAGGCACACCTGGAGCCCACGTCACGCGATCCATCTGATCGTTTGCAGTTGTAACAGCCACGACACCAACCGTAGCAGTAAATCCAACGTAAGCTAATATTCCAACAAACGCAACCTGAGTCGCCATAGCCGTATCCATAGTTGTCTGGAAAGTGGCGAGTTGCGATGCACCGATCCATGCTGCAGCAGGCGCCAATCCTAGAATCGTCGTTGGGAGTAAAGCATGTCTGACAAACTTGGCTCGATGAGCTGCTTTGGTGGTGTAGGAAGCTTCAATGATGTCCATGGCAACTACCAATTGCTTCGCATTGATAGCCGTTTGCAAAGCTTGGTCTGCAGCCTGGAGAGGAACGGCATTGGCGGCTTTGTTTGGGTTCTGTTTCTTATATCGGATAGGAAACGTGCCTTCTTCTGGCAGTGGCTTGTTGGCGTACAAGTTCAAGACTTCCGGAAATGTTTCTGGTTTTCCGAGGTCTGACTGGATAGCAACGTAAAGCTCGAGGATGCTCGGAGTGACGAAAACTGGCGGGAACTTAATCACAGAATAAGTGATGCTGGATAGCTGGTCTACTAAACGCTGTGTTGTTGCAGGAGGCTTGTGCACAGAGACTTTCTTAGCTCCCAAATCATCAAGAGACAGCAGGGCAGAAGTAGCACCAGCTTTCTTCTCAAAGCTCGAAGGAGACTGGTCAGAGACGAGTATGCTGGCTAAAGCTTTGCATCTCTGCAACACAATAAGGACATCTCGCTCTGACGGGACTTTATCCTGCATCAGCAGTGTATTGCACATTGCCTTCACATCTTGCAATCTCTTCTCTAGTTGAGCGTCTAAAGCGATCGTACCACTGTCTCGAGACCGCAGGGGTAGCTTAACTGCGGCGGTAGGAGGAGCTAGACTGCGTGTTTTCTGTGATAATGACCTTTTTTCTGTGGAAAACGGAAGTGGAGAGCCGATGGTGTTGCGAGAAGTTTGACCAAGGCGAGAGAATGGACGGACATTTCGGGTTTTTATGAAATCACAGAGCTGACAAACTTCTGCTCTAGGGCGTATAGCAAGTCGGGACATCTTGAGTGCGACTTTGAGGTCTGACTGGAGCTCGGTTCCTCCTCGTTCGCCGAAGATTGAGGTTGAAATTGAGGTTGAAGTTGAGGTTGAATTCGACGTTGATGTTAGTGTTGACTGGGATTTGACCTAAGAGCCCCCCTGTCTGTCCAGCCACAGTGACCCACTATACACCAAGGCCATAACGTTAACGACGATCCGCTCCACTGTTAATGAACGAGGAAACTCCGTTCTCAGCATCCCATCATTCAGAGAAGGCTTCAAGTACGCAAGGCTTCAAGAACGCAAGTACGCAAGTACATCGTCTATCGTCGATCCTTCAATATTCTGAACCGCATGCAAACGCTTATGCTGGCCTCTCAAATTCTGTAAAGAAACAGAACAACTCTCAACTATCCTATCTCTTCCGACAACACAGGATGCCTCCTCCACCTCCTCCGCCGCCCCCTCGTGAGTTCCGTACCTAGATAATTATACGGTAGAATCATTGCTAACATAGGATAGCTATGGGTGGTGGACCTCCTGCTCCGTACGTTTGGACCTGCTGCTGGCCTTCCCTATTACCTAGAGCACCGCGATCCTGGAACCTCCTACTAACTTATCGACAGCCCACCACCACCGGGAAATTTGCCATCGAGGCCTCCGGCAGGAAACAGGGTAGAGCTCCTACCCGTCGTAGTTATGCCTGTTACGATTTACGGGCTTTTGTCAGATCACTTCGACCTGCTAACCTATGAATAGGGTGCCTTGCTATCCGACATCTCGAAGGGTAAACAACTGAAGAAAGCGGTCACGAACGATCGATCGGCACCAATGATTGGAAAAGTCTCAGGAGGATCGGGTCCAGCGCCCATGGGGGGGGCTCCGCCGGTTCCAGGAGGTCTAAAACCACCCGGCGCAAGAAACAGAGCACGGAGTAATAGTGACCAAAGCAGTAGAGACACTGGTGGAGTGACTGGAACAGAGCAACCACCACAACTAGCAGGCTTATTTGCTGGAGGCATGCCGAAATTGAAGAAACGCGGGGGAGGTGTTGACACAGGAGGTAAGATTAGCGGCCACCTCTATCATGACCGGGCCTGCTAATTTGTACAGCGAACCGAGATTCTTCATCCACATCAGACCCAGAGTCATCACGAAACTCGGCGCCGAAACCTCCTTCTATGGCTGCCCCGCGACCCCCAAATGCTGCACCCCCATTACCAGGAGTCCAAAACGGACATACGAGACCCCTGACTTTTGTTCCCTCTGTCGCGAATCTGCGCAGTACTGGTGGAAGTGCGGCTCCAAGACCTAACTCTTCCGCATCAATGAGAGGGCCACCCCCTCCCATAGGGAAGAAACCGCCTATCAAACCTCCTGCTTTTCGCAAACCATCGAACCTGCATCAACCTCTCATTCCTCCTTCGATCGCACCCCCACCCCCGACGTCCGCGCCTCCCCCTCCCTCTTCGGCAGCTCCCCCTCCTCCGCCTCTGCCGCAAACCAGCGCTCCCCCACCACCGTCTCTACCACAAGTTCCTGCACCTAGACCTCCCATGAACGGGCCAAGTCGATCACAACCCCCTCCGCCTCCCACATCGCCGCTGTCTGCGAATGGTACTAACCAGAGTCTTGCCATTTCTGCAGCCATTAGAGCCGCCGAAAGAGCATCACCGGCTGCTGCACCACCTCCACCACCTCCTCCACCTTCATTTTCCTCATTTTCAGCGCCCTCTTCCGCCCCTCCTCCTCCAAGCTCGGCTCCACCACCTCCAAGCTCAAGGCCCAGTCCACAGCCTATGAGACCGATGGATCCGAGCTCTTATACTTTGTCTTCTAACGGAGGCGGAATGCCTAAAAATGCGATCCCGCATCGAAGTTCAGAGCCCACGAGAAGGGTGTTCATTAACGATCCGAGGTGGAAATTTCAAGATGAGGCAATGTTACCGAAGCCACGAGAATTTATTGGAGCGCAGAAAAGGTATCGAGCAGGGCGTGGTAGCAGTGTTCCATTAGATTTGAGTGCCTTTAATTAAGGATGAATTAGCGGGAGCCTCATCCAATTTGATGTCCTTGGCGTTTAAAGCGTCTCTGGGGCATATTGAAGGGTAATGCTGCTTCACGGGATGGAGTATCTGGATAGGAAGTCGCAAGACTGGCTCAAAAGTCAAGACTCAAATAAGATCATAGAAAGAAGCCTCAATCCGTGAAGAGTATGATTGTTGCGCAAGATACAGTATGAGATGTAAGCCGGGTGATTGTTTTAAACAATAAAAGTATAGCTCATGACTTGAATGCTACCAAATTCCCAGATTAATATCTCATTCATCGCATAAACCGGATTCAGTCTGCGGATAATGAACGGTTTTGTTAAGTGTAATAGGTTTATTCAGTAAGCCCATTGGCAGAACCATTCAGAGAACCATTCAGCTTTCGTTGTGCAACTAGCTAGGTTACAGTATTCTAATGGTTCCGTAACATCTGTCCATCTGCAAATCTATTGAGTACCTTTCCCAGCTGGTGAATGCGGACTTGGGATGCTGTTACTCCGTCTTCTTTGTCAAATTTCTCAAAAGAAGAAATATGTTATCAGAGTTCATAGCCATTTTCTTTATTGATAGACCTTTAGAGGTGGCTTTTTAGAACTATTGACAAAGAAAGACTTGGCACATACTTGCTGTTTTGGTGGTGCTACAGCATTCGGCCGAAGAGGCCACCTTGTATCTCGGCAACCCACCAGAGCTTAAGTTTAAACCACTGTCGTTCTTTCCAGAACACACCTAAGCTCCATCTCTCGACTCATTCTGATAATTACTGCCGCCTTTCTCTCCGCCACATACCCAAGTTCCCTCTCCTTACCTTCGACGGGAATAAATTATTGAGTAATTTGGTGTACTTCCAGCAGGACTGCGATAATGGCACAGATTCGAGGAACGGCGGGCTACAACCTGGGTGGAGGCCAGAGCCAATTTGGAGGACCAAGTAGAGGGGATATGACCAGCGATTCGAGCCCTTTTGATACGATCAGACAGCAAACTGGCAAGATCGAGGATGTTTTGGACACTTTGTTTGAGCCTGTCAAACCGTAAGTATTCCCCCGCTTCCATGTCTTCCGCAGAGAGCTTGGGCACTTGGGCATTTGGGCATTTTCAATTGTATGCTTCGTATTGTGTTACCATTACTGAAATCGAATTATTGCAGATATCTGCCAGCAATTGGACGATTCCTGATTGTGGTTACTTTTGTGGAGGACGCGCTGCGAATAATTACACAGTGGAACGACCAATTAATCTACCTTAACGACTACAGACACAGTAAGGCACACCTGGCCTCTGGACCGGCCATGCAGTATGCTAACAATTTCTCTCAAAAGTCCCCTTCGGCCTTACCCACACCTTCCTCATCGCTAACGTCTTTGCCATGGTCTCATGTTCGGCCCTCGTCATTATCCGAAGGTACTCTGACTACGCCGTCGGAGGCCTCATTGGAGTAGTGGTCACACAAGCGCTTGGGTATGGGCTCATTTTCGACCTGAACTTCTTCCTCCGCAACCTGTCTGTCATGGGAGGCTTGTTGATGGTCCTTTCCGACTCGTGGGTGAGCAAGACCAAGGCCTTCGCTGGTCTCCCCGAAATCGACGAGAAGGACCGGAAGATGTACTTCCAGCTTGCTGGCCGAGTTCTCTTGATTTTCCTGTTCGTCGGATTTGTTTTCAGTGGAACTTGGAACATTTGGAGAGTGATTGTGGCAATTTTTGGCTTCGTCGCTTGCGTCATGGTTGTTGTCGGCTTCAAGGCAAAGTTCAGCGCCATCATGCTTGTGCTAATCTTGAGTATCTTCAACCTGTTGGTGAACAATTTTTGGACTGTAAGATTGAATTCATCCTTTCCAGTGGTACTCTATTTACTTACTGTCTCGCTAGCTCCACGACCACCACCCTCACAAGGATTTCGCCAAGTACGACTTCTTCCAGATTTTGTCAATCGTTGGAGGGCTTCTCTTGCTCGTGAACAGCGGACCCGGTAAATATAGCATCGACGAGAAGAAGAAGGTTTACTAGGAAGTATAAGCGGAAGGAAGAGAGGTGGTGATATCTGCAGAGAGGCTTCAGGAAACACAGAAAATGGGTGCTCTGCATTGGGACGGAGTTCATATAACCAGCGAATCAAAGTTTCTGGTTTTTACATGGACTGACGACGAGGAAATACGGGGCTTCCTCTTGAGCATAGCGACGATCTCTGCGAATGTATATTATCAAAGCCACGTCTCTCCGGAGGCGATTTCCATGGAAGTATCTCTTACTTACCATGAGATGAGCGCTTTGGACGTGTGATGGTTGGAGAAATGATATTAAGGTATACACGATTCAGCTGTTTCAATTCTTCCCTCACGCGATTCTTTTTATCGAATTTTTGGATTCATAGATCTCAAGCACTGGGACACAAAGATGGTCACAGAATGCCATAGCTGACGACGAGCACCAGCCTCGCAAGAGAAAAGGCCACTGTCTCAGATTTCGGGATGTCAAGTCAGGGTTGCGTTGCATGGTGTTCCCTGCCATACAATATTTTCTCGTTGGCATCTGCATCTTCCCACCCAACTGGGTATTTGAAATACGCCAACTTTCGGGTTCCTAATACTGTCAGTGATTATCATATGCCGAGTTCAAAGGGTCGCTTGACAGCTGCATCGGACATGGCTATGAGTTACCGACCCTGGTGCAGTGAGCGGGATCCATATCTAGTAATGAATTGAGTTATAAGAGACAGCCATGCCGGGCTGAATTTTTGTTGCCCCAAGTGAGATCAGGATTCGCTTACTTGAGCCAGAAGGGCTTGAAAGGCTTCCTCGGTTCACGCACCCACCCAGTAACAGAAATATAAGGAGGTGGGGCAGCTGATTTACGCTAAGATAGGCAAGCTTTCTTATCGCAGAATTTTGTCGACTCCGTCCTCAATAATTATTTTCTCCAGAAACCAGACAGCTCCAATTCTCCAACCCAACATGGCGCCCCCAACTCTTGATCGAAAGCGCAAATCTGTGACGCGCGATTTGCTGGAAATATCAGATGGCGAGTCGGAAGCTGAATTTGGTGATGGAATGCTAGAAGGCATTTTGTCGCAAAGCGAAGATTCCGACATCGACAGTGATGGAGACGAGGACAGTGACGAGGAAGACGATGAAGATGCGGAGACATCGGAAGCCCTGGATAGCGACGAAATACCCTCAGAGGACGAAGATGAGGCCGCTGCTATTGGGGCGCTGGTCAAAACCAATGGGGAAAAAAAGAAATCGATATCGGAAGAAGACGACGAGAATAAGCCGAATTATACCATCACCACCGACGCTAATGGAGGGATAAGATACGTCTACAAAGAAATTGATCCTGTCTATGACTCTGACGACTCCGATGCGCAAGATGCCACCAACACGATTGGGAGCATTCCCCTGACTTTCTATGATTCGTATCCACATATTGGCTACGATATCAATGGGAAGAAGATCATGCGGCCAGCAAAGGGGGAGGCCCTAGATGCGCTGTTAGACAGCATTGATGTTCCCAAGGGCTGGACTGGGCTTACAGATCCAGCTACTGGCAAACCCTTGAACCTGAGTCAGGATGAGCTGGAGATTCTTAGAAGAATTCAGACAAATGAGATGCCTGAGGAAGGCTACGACCCGTATCCTGTGAGTAGCATCTTCCTCTTGGAATTTACCTCTTTCTTATGCTAAGTGACCAGGCTACTGTCGAATACTTCACTGGGATCGAGGAAATTATGCCTCTCAGTGCAGCCCCCGAGCCAAAAAGACGCTTCCTGCCTTCCAAACATGAAGCCAAGAGGATAATGAAGATTGTTCGAGCCATACGGGAAGGAAGGATACTTCCATACAGACCTCATGAGGAGAAAGAAGAAGAGGAGGAGGAGACCCACTACGATATTTGGCAAGATGAGGTACCTCGTCCTGATCATATCATGAACATCCCCGCACCGAAAATGCCTCCTCCAGGATACGATATGAGCTACAATCCACCTCCTGAGTATCTCCCAACAAAATCAGAGAGGCAAGAGTGGGAATCAACCGACCCTGAAGATAGGGAAAAGGAATACCTGCCAACCGGTTATGATTCCCTGCGCAAAGTACCCGGTTACGAAAATTTCATCAAGGAGAGATTTGAACGCTCCTTAGACTTGTACCTGGCACCCAGAGTCCGCAAGAACAGACTAAACATCGATCCCGCATCACTTTTACCCAAACTCCCAAGACCCGAAGAGCTGAAGCCGTTCCCAACCGTATGCTCGACACTCTTCCGCGGTCACGATGGACGAGTCCGCAGTTTGGCCATCGATCCTACTGGAAATTGGCTTGCAAGTGGCGGAGACGATGGTACTGTCCGTGTTTGGGAGCTTTTGACCGGTCGACAGGTCTGGAGCGCCAAGATCGGAGATGAGGAAGCGGTCAATGTTGTGAGATGGCGACCATTTTCTTCGGAAGATAATGCATTAATTCTTTCTGCCGCAGCTGGTGAAGATATCTATCTCCTAGTACCGCCGATTGTGGATCCAGAAACCGAGGCCGTTGGCAAGGCAGTGCTCGATAAAGGATTTGGTCATGCGACAAACGCGGTGCAGCCACTTACAGCGAATGGAGCACGAAAGGAACCTGTTGCAAAGTGGACTCGTCCGGGATCTCGTCTTGCAGATGAGGGAGCTCTCATCAAAATAACAGTCCGAACCACCGTTAAGGTTATCAGCTGGCACAAAAGAGGTGACTTTTTCTCGACCGTCTCTCCAACGGCTCAGAGGAGTGCTGTTGCTATTCACACGCTTTCAAAACATCTCACGCAAATTCCTTTTCGCAAACTCCCTGGAATCCCACAGACGGTTCAGTTCCATCCCTCCCGGCCCCTCTTCTTCGTCGCGACCCAGCGAACAATCCGGAGCTACGATCTTCAGAAGCAAGAACTGGTCAAGATCATTCAACCAGGAGCGAGATGGATCTCTTCATTCGACATCCACCCAGGCGGTGACAATCTGATTGTGGGCTCATACGATCGACGACTTCTGTGGCACGACTTGGACCTCTCCACACGGCCATACAAGACCATGAGATTTCATTCGAAGGCTATCCGAGCAGTGAAATACCACAAGGGAGGCTTCCCGCTATTCGCTGATGCTAGTGACGATGGTAGCTTGCAAATTTTCCATGGCAAGGTTGTCAGCGACATGATGGAGAATGCCACCATTGTACCGGTGAAGGTTCTCAAGGGACACAAGATTAAGAGTGCATTGGGAGTGATGGATATCGATTGGCATCCTAGGGAGCCGTGGTGTGTTAGTGCTGGTGCAGATGGGACTTGTCGCTTGTGGATGTGAGGTGTCTGGTTTGCATGTTACCATAGCATAGGCGTTGGAGCTGTTTATATGTCGAATAATACAAAAGAGTTGAAAATATATATATATAAAATGTTATGTAATGACATGTTCTTTCTTCACTAGGAATATTTGGGTATACATTATAAAGCGCGCTCATGCCGTCAGGCCACCGTTCAGATGAACAGTTGAGCATCTACAACAAGATCTCGCGTTCAAGATATGTCATATTCTGTATCATTATTATTCTGGCTCTTGATGATTGATAGTCGTAGATTCGAAGAAGTAAGATTTCAAAATACCAGCGCCTCTGTAGCCATGTCAAGTCAACTTCTGTGCGGAAAGCCCCCGGTCCGACTCTGTTGATTCACAGCCGGTGATGATAAAAAAGTCGTCGAGTTCTCAGCAGGCGCGGGCACGTAACGTATCCGCAGAATCGACTCTACTTTGATCTCCTTCCATCTCACGATACCCACTGTACTACCGGTAATCAGCTCGTCGATGAATGGCTGCCGGCCGGCCGCGCGGTCGCCGATTAAAAATGTCGTGGATCATGGTGGCTTTTTTCTTCGTGAGTTGCCAAGGTTTTCTTTTTGTTTTCGTGACGTGCAACATTACAGTATAAACAGTGCGAGCGCGAAGGCTAGACAGGCTAGCGTGTCTCCGAACGTGGTACATAGCTGGAAAAAATCACAGTACCAATCTCAGGAGTGAAGCTTCAACTTCAATGATGGATGACATTGGAATTGTAGCTAGCTAAGCACACGACCGACCGCTCTTGCCCGGAAAGATAGATCGAGTGGAACCGTCGCGATGGATATGGGGCGAGGCGATTGACTTATTGATCGGTGGGTCTTGACCTCGACACTTGTCGAGAGAGATGCGTGAACGTGCGTGCTTGGACGTTTTGACCTCGTCGGTGGCTTGGCATGGTCGTATACTTGCTGACCCGGGGTGAAAGTCGGTCAGTCATGTTCTCTTCTCTTCGAGACTGGGAGCAAAAAAGCCGAAGCGTGCCGAGAAAGAGATCTACGTTACTAATGCTCGGGTTATCCTGGAGCACGGTTAGTAGCATGCGTTTCTCCCAACTCTGGAATGTTCGTTGATCCAGAGATTCCTGATGTAACTTTTAGAAAGCCGGATGTTGCTGAGTATGAAAAATTGAGGTAGATGTATGATCTGGAGCATCAAACTGTAGGAGCACCTCGGGCGGGGCTTCAGATGCTAGTGGGGTCTTTATTTCTCTATTGCTTCTCCGTGTATCTTCAAACTCGCAATAGAGATTGCTAATTTGCCATTGTGAAATCAGAAACGCCACCCTGAGAGATCATCGCTAGCTCATCCCACCAACCCCATGTCCATACAGAATTCGTGATCATCTGTGACCCAGAAAGCAGGCAGACCTCTGCTTTCATCACCTACATTCCAAATGCAACCCATACCAGCTCGCGCAAAGCAAATCAGCTCTATCTAAACCGTCTTAGTTAACACCAGCCAGTGATAGCAAGCGTTCACCGGCTCTCAGATTAGCACAAGCGAAAGCCTTCGACTCCTTAGGAAAGGTGCCATTGGCGGCCCACAAATCGATCAAAGGTTGCATTGGCTCCAGCTCATGAGGCTTCAGCATGTCGATCTCGGTAGCAGTAAGAACAAAATGACTGAAGCAACTGTTCATCGGCTTCTCCAGATTCAGGTGGTAGAATGGGTCGGTGAAGTGAGCCCAGTAGAGATGCGAATAGACACGGAACATCTGACGGAAGATGGTCTGGCACACGTCAAAGAACTCGACTGGGAAGCCACTACTCTTTCCGACCCAGTCACCAGGGCCAGCCAGTTGTGAGAGGGAGGTGGTAAGGGTTGTTGGGCCGGCTGGGATAGGCGTGTTTGCTCCAGGGGTGTTGAGACCGCCAGATGCGTAGGTTGCCGCTGTAATGTCTGGGGCACCGGTATTGTGGGCAAATGAGACACCGGCAGGGTCAGTAGGGAAGATGGTGGTGTTGTCAATCTTGCCGGAGATCCATCTTTGCATTAGGGAGATATACTCGTGAGCAGGAACCTCGACGGGCTCTTTGCGGGAGTTCAACCATGTGAAGGAGTGATTACTAACGAAAATTTCAAAATTAAGAAGTGAAAGTTTCAAAGAAGGGATAGACTTACGCTCCAGCTGACATGCGGGGACAAGTTTGAGGGTTGCAGATAGAGGATCCATCCTCATCCTTGTCATGAATAACTCGGACAAAGTTCCAGAGGATCCGGTAATGCTCAACAACTGTAGTAATTGGTTAATACATTCATAAAACTATTCGCAAAGGGCTTACCTTGATGCGCGATCCATTCACCTTGCTCAACAGTCTTGGGGCGAGCAGACAGCGTCATGAAGTTACCCTTGACGATATGCTTAGAGTACGAGTCGTTTAGCCAGAGAGGCTTTGGGCGAGGAAGATTGTAGCAAGCGAGCACGTCATTACTCTGGAGACTGCTGGAAGAATCGTTCATAGATAGAGTCTGGGAAAGCGAGGGCGAGTTCGGCAATGGGGGCATGCGTGGCACAAGGTTTGTGGATGAAGAGCTGTGGGAGGTGCCTGTAGGTGATGCAGGTCCAGGGCTTTTTGTACCGCCATTCTTACCACCACCTCTGAAGCGTCCGCTACTGTAAGCGAAGTTTTGTTAGCAAAGAAGTGAGCAGCTTCAAAAACGTGACTTGTAAGGAGTAAAGGCAAGACTTGTGAAGGGTCAAGGAGGGCTTGTAACATTATTGACTGTGAAAAATGCCTGGTGCAACAATCGAGATAAATTGTCTTTCAAGATAGGTTAGAGACATTCTGGACATTTAGTAGCATTGTCTCTTCTGACCCACAGCTCAACGCTGAGATAGACCATCCTGATTGATGCTATTGACAGATATACGCCTTTCCAGAGCGTCTGGGCCCATTGAAAGCCAACAGCCTGCCAGTAAACAAACGCAATGGGATGAGCAAACTGAAAAGCATCAAAACCAAAAGCCATTAAAAGCATACTCGCTAGAACATCATATCAACAGTACAGAAAAAGAGGTGGGTACCTACATTCCAGAGAACAAGTTCGACATGTTGGCTGGCTGGACGCTGATTCCCAAAATGCTAGATCAAAGGGCCAAGTCGCACTCTTTACGGGAGGTCCTGGTTGGTGTAGATATATCAATCTTTGGTCGAAGGTCTTTACAGAAGTAGATCGGAGTTGGGTTGCATGTTAGAAATAGGAGATCGTTGGGAGACGCCTTCGAGTCGTCGGTCTCGAAACAAGTTAGCTCCCGAAGGCGGTGAGAGTTTCCAGTTGCAGGTGCCACTGGATGCTGCTTTACACAGCAGCTTAGGGCAGCAAGGCAACTACTGATTTCTTGAGAGCCTCGCCTCGCCTCGTACGTTAAGTCGCCGCGATCACTTCCAAGTCGGCACTGCAAGTCGGAAAGACTGTTAAGTCCCGCGACTAGAAAACCCAATCATCACTAAGACAGAATTCTTCAAGGAAGGAAAACTCCGGAGTCAACGCGCTACCTCAAGTTCACCACCTCACTTTACTTCTACCTTGAGAAACATGTCTTCTGTATCGGAGGACGATATTGTGGATGCGGTGGTGGAAAGCGATGGCGATCTGTTCGGTGATGACGATGATATGCCAGCAGAAAAAATTCGAGAACTCAGCGATCGTGAGCTCGACTCTGGAGATGACGAGGATAGGAGAGATAGAGCGCCCAGAGCAGAAGGGGTCGACCCGGGTAACAGCAAAGAAGTTCAGGTGCTGGAGCAGCTCTTACCCCGACATCCAGTGCCAAAACCAGCAGATGGGGAGGTGAGAACGCGATGAAAATTGTAAGGAGCTTAGCTAATGATTCTAGTATAATGCTCTACGATTACCAGCCTTCCTAGGCATTGAGCCTCACAAATTCGATAGCAATACCTTCCAACCACCTACTTCTGACCACCACTCAACCGTCCGATCTGCCAAGTTCTCAGCTAGTGCCGTATCTTCCTCAACTATGCGCTACCGCGTGGGCTCGAATGGCAAGCTGGAAAGCAACACAGTTGTGTACAAATGGAGTGATGGAAGCACGACGCTCTCGATCGGTGACCAACATTACGAGCTCCAGACAGCCTCACTCGCTCCTTCTAAGGAAGGCAAGAACTACGAATCGGTGAAGGACTCACATCAATACCTCGCCTCGCCCTCGTTACATTCTCAACTGATGGTCGTCGTGGGCCACATGACAAACCAGTATACTGTCCGCCCAAACAAGGATATACAGGACGATGCTGTGGAGAATCTACAAAAGAACCTTGCTGCTGCTGCTCGGGGTGGCAAGAGAGACGACAAGAACGGCCCGGAGCTCATAACCAACACAGAAGATCCGGAATTACAGAAGAGGAAAGCCGAAGTTGCAGAGAAGGAGCGGCTTAGGGCCCAGCGCCGCCGTGAGACAGCGGCCGAGAGAGCTAACCACCCACGTGGACAGACTCGTGGTGGTCTCAGCACGGAGGACCTAGAGGGCCGTTCTGGAAGAAGAGCTCCTGGCCCTGGCCGCAAAGCTCCAAAGCCTCGACGCCGAACAACAGAATATGACAGCGACGACGACCTTCCACGAGGTGGCCGCAACAGAGAAGATGAATATGATAAGGAGGACGACTTCCTTGCATCTAGCGACGAGGAAATGGAGGAAGGCGGCGAAGATGATGAGGAAGAAGAGATTCTCGATGAGGATAGCGACAGAGATCGACACAGATCCAAGAAGCAGAAGCTATCCAAATCGAGGCCCGAGGAAACCAGCGATGCAGATGCAGATGCCGAGGCGGATCTTGACGACGACGAAGCTCCTGCACCCCCAGTTATTACTGAGCCTACTAATAGGGGTAGGAAGCGCAATATCATTGAGGACGACGATGACGAATGAGGGATGACATTGTGATGGCAAAGCTTCGCAAGCTACTTGGCTTGCTACAGATTTTCGCAGTATTGGAGATACCACTGTCTGCCTTGGGCAGCAGTCATATATGTAGCATTAGATACCAGAAGAGTTCGGTGGAGCTTTCGTATAAAGCAACTTGAACCCCAAGCCTTACTCTCGTAAGTATTTTCGTCATCGTGACTCCCTGAGAAGCAATGCCTGGTTTGCAAACTGCCAAGATTATGGCCTGGCATTCCTGGACATCCCACTATCACTATCACCAACACCGACATCGACACTGACACCGACAGCCTCGCTGTGAAAGGATTGAATCACGTAAAGTCCAGCGAACCGTTCAATTATTTGTGTAAACCGTAAGCTGCAGTGAGTTCTTGGGGAAGAAGTACTGCAGGTTGTGTTGATCCCTTGGTTGTACCGTACTTGAGTTCTTATCACATGTTCCTCACATACCTCAGCGCTCCCCAGTAAACCAGACCAGACCATCTAGTCTCCTCCCCATTCCGAGCAGGGAGCAAAGCGGATTGCTACTCCCCCCTACTCGCAATGGCTCACATCTCTCTTCAGTAACCTTCTGTTCATTATATTCGTGTCGATATGGCGGGGCTTTTAAAATCCTTCTGGAGCTTGCTGATTGATGTGGTGTTGTTCTGGCAAATTGTAAGCCTCTGTGCCTCGGGGATTATTATTATTATTATTTATTTATTTATTTATTTTTTCTTCGTTACATGAGCTGACTGCGCATAGAGCTTTTTAAGGTGGATGACTCGTAAGAAGCCGGTGGAGGTCTGGTTCTCAATCCTCAGAGATGCGACCTCTTACCAGGAATGGGAAGAAGCGGCGTTCCAGCTGGATGTGTTACTGGGCAATGACTTATGGTATTTGCAATCCAGCTGCTCTCGTCTTTGAGATACACAAGAGAGCATATGCTAATCCTGGACAGGCGCCAAAATCCTACTTCGAAATACTATGACTATCGCCTCATCCACGAACGTCTGCAATCGATTATTGTTGCGCGGGAGGAGGGCGACATTCTTCAGCTTGTGAATCTGCTAAGATCCGGCCTCGTTCGCAACCTGGGCAATATATCTACTCCCCGACTTTTCAATCGGGCATTCGCTGGGACCAAACTATTGATCGAGGACTACATAACCCAGGTCGCGCAAGCTATTGCCGATGTTACAAAACTTCCGACTTCTCCAGGAGCTGATGGGATTGGGGTGGTACCAGGCTTCAGCAGTCAAGCTAAGCTCGATCTATTACACGATACCAGGCAGGCATTTGGGCGAAGCACATTGGTTCTTCAGGGAGGAGCCATATTTGGATTATGCCACTTGGGAGTTGTGAAAGCGCTCTTTGCTCGAGGGCTGCTGCCCAGAATCATCACTGGGACCGCTACCGGGGCTTTGATTGCTGCCTTGGTAGGCGTACATACAGAAGATGAATTACCGAGGTTTCTCAACGGGGACAGTATCGACCTTTCTGCATTTGCTGGTAAGGGATCCGGTGGTGAAAATGGACACGAAGAGAATGGCTGGTGGGGTACCTTAACAAGAAGGATCCGGAGATTTATGCGAGAGGGTTACTTTTTGGACGTGAAAATTTTGGAGGAGTGTGTCCGGGCCAATGTTGGAGACCTTACTTTCGAAGAGGCTTACAATCGGACGAAACGAGTTCTCAATATCACGGTCGCTACAACTGGAAGAGGGGGCGTGCCAAACCTCCTCAATTACCTGACGGCTCCTAACGTTGTTAGTATCATCCAAATCTCCTTTATATTTGAGCCAGGCTGATGTACATATAGTTGATTTGGTCGGCCGCCATTGCATCTAATGCGTCCTCTCCATCTATGTATGGCCGATCAATCACTCTCAAGTGTAAAGACGCTTCCGGGGCTATTATTCCCTGGTCAGCTGCCACAGATATAACCTTCCAACCGTGGACCCATGCATCCTACACGGATCGAGACTCGCCTCTTTCCCGGATCGCTGAGCTGTTTAACGTCAACCACTTCATAGTTAGTCAAGCCAGGCCATATCTGGTGCCATTCCTCCAAAGCGATATGCATGGACCATCACCACTTCATACACGTGCTGGACGAACATCATTGACGGGTGGTCTCCTCCGATTGATCACCATGGAAATCCATCATCGCCTGCAGCAGCTCGATAGTCTTGGCCTTCTACCTTTGTCGATTAGGCGTTTTCTAGTCGATGAACACATTCCTGCAGCATCTGTAACCCTTGTTCCCGAGCTATCTGCGTCTGACTTCGTACGCTTGCTCGAGACACCCACTCAGGCGAGTCTGGACCATTGGATCCTCCGAGGAGAAAGGAGCGTCTGGCCAGCTGTTGGGGCTTTGAAAGTTAGATGCGCAATCGAGACTGAGCTAGACAGAGGATATCAAGTCGTCAGGAGAAAGAAAGCCGGCGGTTTGCGTCGACGAGGTAGCGCTGTCGACAATGCGAACGAGAAGGAAAGGGCACGAGAGAGAGACCGCGCAAACAGCACAGCTGCGAAATGGTAGGGTGTAGTTCGCTTTGCATCATATCGGGCGTTAAAGGCATATTCATGACATTGCATGGCGAATTGCGGGATCAAAATAATTACAATAGTGGAGGGGAGCTTTCGTTCTCTGTTGGTCCTCAGGCCTGAAGGCCCATTTGGTCTTTTACAGCGATATCAAGGTCCTAATATACCCATAATTGCCGGGGCCATTAATGACTAGTGATCTGTTTGGCACAGGCTGATGATCAAAAAAGGGGAAGCACGGAATAAGTCTCTGGTTCAATTTCAAATGCAAACTGGGAGCTCTTGGGCCTATTAAAACGTAAACGCATCATAACGAAGTCTGTCATGAGTGAAGTCGGCCTGAATCTTGATCTTCCTTCAGCCTCTCATGTCAAGATTTGTAGGACCATCGGAGTCTACCGATGGCAGTACAAGAATTTTGCAACGCGTCAACTTCGTGTGCGAGGGAGATGTTGAAGGAATATGGGATCCCACTTCTCGGTGTTCGACTTCGCTTCCACTAGCAAGCTGAAACATTCGTGCTGAAGAAGAGACGTACATCCGGTCCGGTACGCTACGTCTTGACACCGGAATCGGAGTCTCAATGTAGTATGTAGTACAACC